AAGAATATGTTTGTCAATTTACAGAAATAATTTGCACTAAGACTCTCTGAGAAAATACTCAAGAAACTAGACTATCTACAAGGAGGTGGCGACTAGGCAGATAAAGGCTGTGGTGGGAAACACTTGGCACTATAAGCCTTTTTATGTATTTTTTTTCTCTTTTTAAGCCCTGTGAATGTACTACCTCTCCAAAAAAATTAAACCTAAAAAGTTAAAGTTTGGATGCTGAAAAAAAATGAAGTACAACTGAATTCCCCTGCTCCCCTCTTACCCCCTCTCCCCTCTCCATACGTCTCAGATGATGAGGTCACCGTTGGCAAGTTCTATGCCACGTTCCTGATCCAGGAGTACTTCCGGAAGTTCAAGAAGCGTAAAGAGCAGGGCCTTGTGGGCAAGCCCTCCCAGAGAAACGCGCTGTCTCTGCAGGTGAGGGTCTGGGGGTGGGCCCACACTCCAGGAAGGTCCTGGTCACTGCCTCTAACCTCCAGTCAGGGTCCCGGTCCCTCCCCAGCAGCTGGAGGCCAGGTCCCTGCAGAGGGAACCTTGCAGAGAGCTCCAGACCTTTCCAAAGATGGTTGTGAGAAGGGGGTGATGTGCCCTTCCCCACCTGCCGTCACTGACTGCTCTACATGGTCCTGCCTGCTGTCATAGCCCCCAGAGCTCTGAGCACTTCACTGAGGCTCCCATGATGGCCCCTGAACCCTGGGACCCCCTCCTAATGAGCCTTCATCCTTCCTGGATGGGTAAATGGATTCTTCCATCAGTGGGCAGCCCAGCCTCTGGTTCACACACAGGCAAACCTTCCAGAGGGTCAGCTGGCTGGGTGGAGGATGCCAGGGCTCTGCAGGGACAGGCCTTGGCCCTGGGCTGTGGCTGGCTGGGGAGCTCGGAGGAAAGGGAGCGCGGTCCTCACCATCCTCCCTCTGGGTTCCAGGCTGGCTTGCGCACGCTGCATGACATCGGGCCTGAGATCCGACGGGCCATCTCTGGAGATCTCACTGCTGAGGAGGAGTTGGACAAGGCCATGAAGGAGGCTGTGTCCGCTGCCTCTGAAGATGACATCTTCAGGGTGGGTGGCGCTGTGGCGCACTTTCAGCCTCTATAAAGTTCAGTTTGGAGCAAGAGGGTGGGCAGGGTTTTGCCAAGAACGTCCAGGGGAAAGAGCTGTACCAGAGGACAGGGCCACTTCCAGGCTCTTCCTGATCAGCTGTGTCCTCACCCCTTTGCCTTTTCCAAGCCTGACTCCATCCCAAGGCAGGGCTCCCTGGAAACGGCATTTCACAGTGTCTTCCCAAGGGAAATATTTCCTAGGAGAAGAGAAACTTCTACATTAGAAGTTATAAAGTGGTCACCCCGGGCATATCTAATCTGCAGGCTTGTTTTGTTTGTTACTATTTGAAAATCTGGCACGTTCAGATCAAAATCAAGACTCCTGGCATTCCTTGGAAAAGTCAGGAGACCTGCAACTTTGAGCTTACATTCCAGCAGGGCAGCAGAGGGCTGGAGCCTAGTGGCAGCTGCCCCTCGAGATGAAGCACAGCATGTGTTCCCCAGGTCTCCGAGCCCCTCAAGTCCTCCCCTTTCCCTCTCCCTTCCTGGAGACTGAAGCTGCCCAGCAGTTGCAGTAGTGAAAATTAAACACAGCTATACCAGAATAAGGGGCATTTATCATTCACTTGTGTTATCTGCCTCACCCCGCTGGTATTTGGTTAAAACTCCTCCTATAGCAAGGGAGAAGCTGCCAGTCATAATTGTGCAGGGCCCTGTTCACACCCGCTCCCAGCCCAGGGCCCAGTTCCCAGGCTGTGGAACACAACAGGGGCAAGCCGAGCCCATCCTGCCCCTACTCCTTCTCTTCCTTATCCTTATCCTCATCACCGGAGACGTTCGTCACTGAGTAGCCTCAGGGACATGGCATGATTGTGACACCACCTGACAAGACCCCAGAAATCAAAGGCTCAGTCTCCAAGGCCCAGGGATGTTCTGATGTGGAAGCTTGCAACCTTGCAAATAGCTACTTGCCCACTTCCCCAGGACAAGGAAAAGATACTGGGGGAAAACACTGGCTCCTGGCTTTAACTATCTGTGAATCCCTGAGGGGAAAAAGAGCATCATGCAGGAAATTCCTCATTTTCAAAACCGTTTGGCCGACATAGCTTTTAGCTCTGTGAGCACATTGGATTTATTTATTTTTAATCTGGTTAGAATCTTCTGGTCGTTTTCCCAGCCCCCACCCTCACGGTGTGCTGGCTGCTCTCGGGGACCACCGTCCGAGATGTGCCCTGGAAACTCACTCCCAGCCTTCAGGGACTTCACTGGAAACCTCCAGGGCAGCTTGTACCAGCGGCAGCCCCTTGCACAGTCCCGTCCCTACCAGTGTGTGCGTTCTCCCAGCTGCCACAGAGGGGAGCCTGGAGCCTTGAGACTGTGGGTCCCTCCCATTCTGGAGCAGCCAGCCATGAAGAAGGTCCTCAGGTGCCCCTGGCTCCCAGCAGGGTTGTGCCTCCCCAAAGGAAGGCAGCCCGCATTCCCGGGCCCTGCGTTCCACTGGCCTGGCTGTGCAAGCTGCTCTCTGGGAGGAGTGGACACTGAGGGGCTTCTCCTCCACCCACCTGTCCTTCTTGCCTACAGAGGGCAGGTGGCCTGTTCGGCAACCACGTCAGCTACTACCAAAGTGACGGCCGGAGCGCCTTCCCCCAGACCTTCACCACTCAGCGCCCGCTGCACATCAACAAGGCAGGCAGCAGCCAGGGCGACACAGAGTCGCCTTCCCACGAGAAGCTGGTGGACTCCACCTTCACCCCCAGCAGCTACTCGTCCACCGGCTCCAACGCCAACATCAACAATGCCAACAACACCGCCCTGGGCCGCCTCCCTCACCCCGCTGGCCACCCCAGCACGGTCAGCACTGTGGAGGGCCATGGGCCCCCATTGTCCCCTGCCATCCGGGTGCAGGAGGTGGCGTGGAAGCTCAGCTCCCAGAGGTAAGCGGGGGCTGGCCACCCTGCTCAGTCTTTTCTCCTTGTCCTCTGATCCCCTGTGCTCTAGGATGCACTGCTCTGACATGCTGGGATGGTGGGACTTCCCTCCCACCCTGGGCCCCTGCAGGGCTCCTCCCTGTCAGCATCAGCAGCTCCAGGGTTCCCTGGTGGGGCTGAGAGAGGTGCCTAGTCGCGCTTAACTGTGCTGCTTTTCCAGAGTAGGACAGTGGCTCCCAGCCGGCGGCACAGCGCCCCAGCATGTCAGCTTCCTGACATGCCTGCCCTCCAGCTCAGAAAATAATAAGAGAAGTTGGAGCTTCTCACTAAACCCCTGGAAAAGTGTCCATCCAAGGAGCAGGCACCTGCCGCGGGCCTGCCCATCCCCCCAGAGAGCCCATTTTCAGGTGGCTGCATGCAAGCCCCTAGGGCCAGGCATTTAATTATGTCAGATGACAGGCAAGTTAAAAAGACCATCCCCTGTCTGCTTTCCTTTCTGCAAGTTGGCTGGTTTAGCCACCCAGAGGCAGCACTGGGGCATCCCTCAACTCATGAGGCCTGCACCGCTGCCTTCTGTGCTCAGGGCAGCTTGCTCAGCACTGGATTTGATGAGCTGGCCTGAAGGGCTAGCTTTACATAGGAGAGGATCTAATCTGGGCATCTAGTCTTGGGGGCCTGCACTTGTTGTGGGGGCCTCACCCTTCTCTGCAACTCACTTCCCTTCCCCCCACAGCCTTTGAGGACTCAAGTACTGGATCCCCACACCACTTCTCCCCTGCTGGCCTCATCAAAGTCTTTGCTGAAGGAGGGCTCCATGTCCATCTTTAGCATCTCAGGGTGAATTAAATCCCTACCCTCTAAGGGCATTTTCCTGTGAGGCTTTGTTCTCTGTGACATAAGGGGTGAGAGATGTTTAGAGGAGCTGGGGAGGAGACCCTGGGGAATTTCCTTGTCCCCACAGATACATCTCTCCACGAAGCAAAACACACGCAAAGCACCCAGCACAGTGCCCAGCACACAGTCAGTGCTCATGAAATGTCGGTTCCCTCTGCCCACTGCAGACAGTACAAACAACAGGGCACCAAGCTTCAGCTTGGTGAAGAAGAGGAGCATAGCCCACATCCCAGCTCCCTTGTCCTCTCTGTCACAGCTCAAGGCTAAGGGCAGCTCAGGCCCTGGCATTGCTTGTGCTAAGGATGGGCCAGCATATCCTGTGCCCAGGGTCCCCCAGAAGTGCTATTACCTGCCTGCTGCCGCCCTGCACCTCCAACTCCTCCCCCGACACCATCACCAAAGCTCACTCCACCTCCCTCCGCTCCCAATCCTCTTGGAGCTCTCACCTGTCATCTTTCCTTCCCGCTGCAGGGTGGGTGGCAATCTGCAGAACTCCTTGAGAGAGAGAACTACTCCTACCCTGCCAGTGATGCTCAGAGCCAGGGCACTGATCTAGCACTCAGCTCTGAGAGGATAGACCAGGATCTTTCTCTGATGCTCTCGGGGATCTGAGGATAAAGTGGGCCCAACATGCAAGGTCTACAGAAAGCAAGACAGAGGGAGGCACTGAGCTGAGCTAGACAGGAAAAGGAAGAGGCCTTGGTCCAGAGCTAAAGAAGGCACAGCCTGTGAGCATAAGACCCTGTCCCAGGAGGGAAAAGCACATCCTAGTGTGTGAGGATCTGGAGCTCAGGAGGGATTCTGGCTCAGCAGGGACTCAGGCTCACTGCCCTCTGCTCAGGAGAGCAAACCCCTCTAGGTGAGGCTTCCACTCTGTGCCTTTGCCCCAGGGGGCCAGTGTCAGAATCAAGGGCACCATCAAAATAGGATGCCAGAGACTTCTCAGCTGTACCAGATGCCAAAGACCCAGGTGTTATAGCTGGAGGTGAGTGGGGGAGCAGATTCTAAGGCAGGGCATGTGTCGTTCCAATTTCATAGAAAGGGAAACTGAGGCATGAGGTGTGCTAAGCAACTTGGACCAGAGGATAAGTGAATTGGGGTCAGGACTCAGATCTCCCTGGATCAACAGTAGACATCCTTCTGCCAAATGGGACTCTCACCCTAATCTTAATACTTCCATGGACCCATCAGCAATCACAGGAAAACAAGGCACCAGCAATTGTGTGCCTGTTCACATATGTGTGCTTGTGTTTGTGCATGTGTGTATGCATGCATGTGTGTGTGTGTGTGATGCTTTACTTGCTGAAGGAAGGGGAGGAGGGTTGGCAGTTCCTGATGTTTTTCTTCTTCTTGGATATTGTAGGTGCCACTCCCGGGAGAGCCAGACAGCCATGGTGGGTCAGGAGGAGACATCTCAGGATGAGACCTACGAAGTGAAGATGAACGATGACACAGAAGCCTGCAGTGAGCCCAGCCTGCTCTCCACAGAGATGTGAGCTCTGCTGCCCTCTGCCAAGGCCAGCCCGGGTGTGGGAACAAATCTGGGGAAGCAGGGGCAAGTCCCTGAGATCCCTCCTCTGGGGCTGGAGGAGGAGAGGAGATCACAGAGAAACACCTGCACAGCCTTTGTCATCTCCTTAGTGAAATGGGAGCCTCCATCTCTCTCTCTCTCTCTCTCTCTCTCTCTCTCTCTCACACACACACACACACACACACACACACGATGCCCTTTTTAGCTTGACCTTTCCTTGCCAGAAAATTTTGTGAACATTGCTTCTTAAACCTTTTGGGCTGTAAGACACAGGCATAAATATATTTTCTGGTGAGACTCAGTGCTCACACACATATATTGACAATGAACAAGTGTCTCAACACGTTGCTTATAATAAAGCTGCCCAGAAGAGGGCGCTGGTGGCAAACCTATGCCTGAGATCTTTTGGCCTTGCTGCAATTCCTAGAGTATTTTAGCTGCAGATCTAGATCCTTTAGAAGGTTGTGACATTCATTTGGTCACTAACAACTAGCCCTTAAAAGTGGGCGTAGCATAGCATAATAGAAACTATCAGAGTGCGTTGATGTCACAAAGGTAAGCACTGTGTTGTGAAACACTTGCTTAATTGCCAACAGATGTGTGTATCGAGGGTGTCTCCCTGTGAAACGTCTTTAGGACTGAGTAACATCCACAGAAGTTTGAGACACATTGTTTCAGAAGCTTTTCTGGCATTTTCACCTCAAAGCTCTGTCTCATCTGTTACTTTATTTGTGACTCACAACAGGCCTATGAGACAGGCAGGGCATATGTCATTCCAATTTCATAGAAAGGGAAACTGAGGCATGGGATTTTTCCCTAGGGGGAAATGCCTGGGCCCTATAGGCTTGCATGCAGCCACTTGACAATAGGCCCTCTGAAGGGATGGGCAGGCCAGCAGCAGGTGTGCCTGCTCCTTGGATAGACACTTTTCCAAAGGTTCAGAGTTATTTTCTGAGCTGGAGGGCAGGCATGTCAAGAATCTGGCATGCTGGGGGGCTGTGTCACCTGCTGGGAGCCAGTGTCCCACTCTGGAAGAGCAGCACAGTTAAGCATGGCCAGGCACGATGCAGGGTATCCTCTCTCAGCCCCACCAGGGAACCCTGGAGCTGCTGATGCTGACAGGGAGGAGCCCTGCAGGGACCCAGGGCAGAAAGGAGGCACTCACCAACCCAGCCCAGCATGTCAGTCCAGTCAGTTCCTGAAAGGACTTTAGAGTGAGGGAAGACTAGCCTTGCAGTCTTTTGAAGACAGGAAAGGTGTGGCTGGAGGCGATGGGAGGGGGCACCAGGCCCCCCACTGGGGGGCGTGTGGGGAGATCAGCCGCCAGACCAGCACAGCGTGTGATTTCCTGGGTTCCAGTGCTTTCTGCTCAGGAACTGGATGGGAAGAGTAGCAGAGGCACCTCCTTTTCCCCTGGCATAGAAAAAAGAGTCCAGTGAGTAAGGAAAAACATGTAAAGAGTGCCAACCAGCAACTCTTGACAAATTACTCGGCTGCCCTGTGCCTTTATGTCCACATCAGCAAAATGGGGCATTGGGGGTGACAGACCTTCTACTTTTCTGACTCAGTGAAACACAGTCAATGTAAAACCAAGAGAAATACCTGAAGCTCCTTATGAGAGCATATTCTCTAAGTTGATTTTTAGAGAATACAGATGAATGCCCGGCTGCCTGCCCTAGAAATCGGGAAGAGCATGTGTTTTAACCTATTTCGGTTCTTCTAGAATGCCTGGTGCACCAGGTGCTCTGTGAAGTCATTAAGAACCCAGTCTCCAACCTCAAGGAAATTCCACAAACTAGGAAACTAAGAGGGTCTCAGGGGAGGAAGATAACACAGTTTCTCACTAATTACCCCCAAGGGTACAGGTACAACCCCAAGGGGTACAGGCGTTCAGAGGATGTGGAGGGCAGGGTGACCTTAACAGGTACCATGCACAGGGTTAAACAGTAGCTGGGTCTGCAAGAGTGGGGGTGATTTTCATAAGAAAAAAATATGATAGGGAGGCCTTACCTAGCTTAGAGTAAGAGCAAGGCTTGAAGGCAAAATACTGCAGTCTGCACTCAGCCAGCATTCCTGCACATCTATAAATTCCCCAAGTCTCTGTGCTGTGCCAAGAGCAGGCATGGAGTCACCCTCAGAGGTGTGGGGTGGCACCAGGGACCAGTGAGTCAGTGGTCTCATCTGGGAACGAGGTTGGAATGCAACTGTGCTTCTCAGACTGCAGGCCGACCCAGTAGGGATTGTGAATCAAGACTTTAATAAAATAGAACAGACTAAAGTGGACTAGGACTCACCAGGGTGCAATGCATGCACTGAGAATAAGCAAAGGGCATGAGGTTTCATTCCATCAGGTGTGTCTGCATGATGGGAAGGTGTCAAATCTACTTCTCATTGAGTCTCCATCAAAGGCCTGGAGGCCATAGAATAGATGCCCCCTGAGATCCCTCACAGCCCTGCTGTTCACCTACTGAGTGACTGTAGGGTGGCTGTAGGCAGCTGCTCATGTTCTCTTGTTGATGGGGTGGGGGTGGCAGAGCAGGGAGAAATCGGGGATGGGGATAAGTTTGGGCTAAAGTTGAGGGTCACTGGGGAAAACAGCATCAGTTCATACAGACGCGGGAGCCAGGGCCGTTCCCCAAAAGAACTTCACCTGCCTAGGATCCTTTCAGCTTCTTTAACACCTTTGACCCTAGAGTCCCTTCATTTCCCCAAATCAGAACTGCAAGCCCATGAGACAGGCTGCAGGTGAGGAGCTGGCAACCCCCAGTGAGCAGGCCTGGAAGGTGCCAGGGGCAGGCCAGAACTTCCTGGGGTGGCGATTGACCAAACCTGCATGTAAGCACAAAGTGGGCATCCCTTCACTAAGGATCAGAGCAAAGTGCTTTCTGCAGATGCAGCTGTCCCTGTGAGTGGCCACTTCTCAGCTTCCAGGAGCAAGCCCCAAGAGTTCTCTGTTCCAGGCTCTCCTACCAGGATGATGAAAATCGGCAACTGACACTCCCAGAGGAGGACAAGAGGGACATCCGGCAATCCCCAAAGAGGGGTTTCCTCCGCACCGCCTCACTAGGTAAATGCACACCTCACTCTCCAGGGGTGGTCGGTGGTTACTCCCAAGAGGACACTGGTCAGGTACTCAGGGCAATAACCATGTGGCCTGGCTTAGACCAGCCTCTCACAGTGGGCTGGGTAGATTTCCAAAGCAAGGAGACAACATTCCAAAGGCAGGATGTGCAGGGATGAGCCCTAGAGAGATGCTTCAGAATACGTCTCAGATGAGGGGAGGGGAAAGGAGGAGTGTCCCGGGCCACAGTTACTGCTCCTGGCGCCCACCTGGTGTGAACTGTCACAGGCCAGCATCCTGTTTTCTGCCCTGATCCTGGCTCTCTGGCTGACTTTGCAGGTCGAAGGGCCTCCTTCCACCTGGAATGTCTGAAGCGACAGAAGGACCGAGGGGGAGACATCTCTCAGAAGACAGTCCTGCCCTTGCATCTGGTTCATCATCAGGTAGCTTTTGGACAGGCCACTGTCACCTGCCAGCAGGCCAGACAGTCCCCAGGATGATGGACAAATCCTGAGGACATCAGTGGGTCTTGCCCGTCTCATGGCTGGCACATCCTGCCCCTGCCCTCAGAGCCACCTCCTAGGGCCTCACACGCCTCCAGTGCAGGTAAAGGCCACAGCGAGGTTTGCAGCATCGCAGGGTGGGGGCCTAGGAAGTGCTGGTGCACAGGAGCTCTTCCTGTCATCCTGAGGACCCACAGCTGTGGGCTCCACCTGAGCTTTTTCTTAGGCTGCCACAGATCCCACTGACTCCCCAGACACTGACTTATGCTGCAGGGCATTCAGGAAGATGTACTTGTACCTAGAGTTTGAACATACCTGGAAATTTCGCTGCACAAAAATCCATCCAGTGACATATAGAAGTGATTATAGAACCCACCAGCCACATGGTCAAGAGTAGGGAATGACATCCAGGGAAATCAGGTCCAGGGAGATTCCATAAATGAAACTGTCTCTTGGCATGGCTGACTCCAGCCGAGATAGTGAAATCCAAGATGCCCGGACCAAACATATTTTAGTATCTTTGAACTTCAGTATTATCTGAGGCCAGTCTATTAACCCCAGACAAACTGAGTTTCCCAACATTCTGACCTTTTTAATGATATACTCTCTTATAGCATGGACGTATGCTTTAAATGACTTTTTTGTACCCAAAGGCATTCAACTGCTAATCAAAACTCACAGTCAGCGTGAGATGGCCAGTGTGGTCTTGCTGAGTTGAAAGGACTTCAGCCCCAAGAAATGAACTGGTTTTCTTAGCCTGTGTGTTGATTTCCACTGGGCTTTCCGAAATAATGAATATGGCCTTACACTTTTCTCAGATCCCCAGGGATCCAGGAGCCCCAGGCTGAGGACCACCATGGGCTGGGGCAGAAGGTGGAAGGATGTGGGGACACTATGTGTGCCATCTTAAAAGATTCCTAGTAGTCAGTTTTACCTATCTGTTCTTGTTATACTGACAGGCACGAAACTCTCCTCTTCATCTTTCTCCTCCTGTTCTCTGTGCCCCTAGAGGTGGGCACACACAGTGTCTCTCTCTCCCAGGAGCACATCCCATCAGAGCAGCTCGCCCTGCAGAGCCTCTGCCCTGGCAGGTCATCATGGCAACAGCCAGGCAGGCCTGGTCCCTGCCCTCAGGATGCTCAAGAACATTCAGGGACAGAGGGCACACCACATGAATCTTGTAAGCACAATACAACACCAGATTTAACAATGATTGAAAGATAACCTGAGCTACAGACCGGCAGGGCATTATAAACAGCCCCATTAACTGTCAGAACCAAAACCACAAATATTGGTTTTCCTGACTCTTTGTGAGGTGCAGAGGGCTTCTTCACAGACCTCACCGCACTTGAATCTCACACCAGCCCCGCAAGGCGAATGGATAGAGGGTGTTCGCTCTCTGGTTTTACAGACACGCAGGCCTCACCCTGTTCTCCGTCCTGTTGAGGACAAAAGCAAGAGCAAGAGAATAAACAGGTGACAGGGCCACGGCTAAAAGCAGGTTACCATGACTCCACCCAATCCCAGCTCGCAGAAGTTACAGGAGAAAGAGATCACTTCGGACCCAGATGGTGCTAAGATGTATTCTGAGATGGTTGAAAGTCATGCCAGGTTAATGAATAGGACCAGGAGGGGAAAACAATGGCATGTGAATATCAGGCTGGTGGAGCTAGCTAGACACAGCCCTACAAAGCAGTGGTTGCTCAGAAGCAGGGGCCTGCCTTGCTAGGGGTGGACCCTCCTATTAACTCATACTCCTTGTGTGTCCACAGGCACTGGCAGTGGCAGGCCTGAGCCCCCTCCTCCAGAGAAGCCATTCCCCTGCCTCATTCCCCAGGCCTTTTGCCACCCCCCCGGCCACACCTGGCAGCCGAGGCTGGCCCCCACAGCCCGTCCCCACCCTGCGGCTAGAGGGGGCCGAGTCCAGCGAGAAACTCAACAGCAGCTTCCCGTCCATCCACTGCGGCTCCTGGGCTGAGACCACCCCCTGTGGCGGGGGCAGCAGCGCCGCCCGGAGAGCCCGGCCCGTCTCCCTCACGGTGCCCAGCCAGGCTGGGGCCCCAGGGAGGCAGTTCCACGGCAGTGCCAGCAGCCTGGTGGAAGCGGTAAGTGACTCACAGACAGGCAGGGGGAGAGGCCACAGGCAGCAAGGGTACTTGGCATGTGGAGCTGAGAAGGGAGCACCTGGCTCTTTCCAAATTCATTGCAGTCAATATCTGAGCAGAAAGACCCTCCCCGTCAGGGCTGCAGGAGGGCTGGTGTGCAGAAAGCCTTGCCCACACGAGATGCCACGGGCTCTCCTGAGGCCAGGCCCACTGCAGAGGGTGACAGAAATCACTGAGCAACTCGTCCCAGCCATAGACCTGTGTGCTGCATCTGTTCAACACGCAAATGTGAGCTTGGCTGCCTTTCTACACAGACAGGCCAGATCCAAGGCGCTCAGGCCTGACTATCCATGAGAATCACCTGGGAGCTTTGGAAATGCGGACAAATTAACTGATAGTTGTTAAAGCTCTTCAATGATTGTGATGCATAGCCAGGCTGGGAGACACTAGTCCAGAACGAGAGAGCTTTCAGAGAGCTTTCTAGTGCAATCCTGGCGCCACATTATTAGGGACCTTTGACACATTGGAACAAGGCCAAAAGAGGATGACCAGAATGGCAAGGTTCCTAGACACCATTTCCTAGGAGAACCAGTTCAGGGAATTGGGGAAGGAAACCTGGAGAGAATGTGACTGTGGAGGGTGCGATGCCCCTCTCACACCTGCAGCGGGAGGGATGGGGAGAGGTGGCAGAGTGACTGGCTCAACCCACCAGCAGGCAGATTTCAGCTCACATGAGGAAGACCTTCCCAACTGGCCTCTTCCAAAGTGAGAGGGGTTTGCCTGAAAAGTAGTGAGCCCCCATTACCGGACATAGCCAAGCAGAGGCTGCATTCATCTGGACATCAGGCTGTCGGCAGGAGGTGGGGAAGTTAATCTGGTATTTCCTGTGGCCTTGGCCATCCTTCATTCATTTCACAGACCTCCCCTGAGTGCCTACCATGTGCAGGCGCTATTCTAGGTACAGGGACACAGCTAAGAAACACAGCTTCTGCTCTCATGAGCTAACATTGTGGTGAGGAGAAACAGATAATAAACACACACACATATAACACATCAGGAAATTCAGGAGTGCCAAAGAAAAACTAAGCAGGGTAAGGAGAGAAGGAGCAAGACAAACAGATGCCTGGGAGGAGTGAGTGCCAGGCTGCACTCAGCTGCCTTCCACCTTCTGACTCAGGAGCCAACTTTCCTATAGCTGGGCACTATGCAGCCGGTAAGGAGGACAGAGAAGTTTGGGGGTCACCTGGTGGCCCTTCCCAGCAGAAGCAGGGCAGGGGCATGCACGGTGTTTGCACATATACCTCACCCCTGGAAAAGCAGCAGCAGGCAGTGGGCAGAGGGCCTGTCTCGACAGTTTCACTAGGGAGAATGCTTTCTCTGAAATAATAGTATAAAGGCTCTGTGGGTGTCAGAAGGGAGAGAGGCAGGCTGGGGTCTGCTGATGAAGCAGCAGGGCACCCACCCATCCCCGGGCCCCTCTGTAAGCCAAGCCTACTCTGGTTTTTGTTTTGGTTTGATTGTCTTTTGAGACAGGTTCTTGCTCTGTCACCCAGGCTGGAGTGTAGTGGTGCAATCACAGCCCACTGCAGCCTGGGCTCCTGGGGTCAAATGATCCTCCCACCTCAGCCTCTGGCCTTGCTAGAACTGCAGGCATGCATCACCACACCCAGCCAAATGTTTTTAAATTTTTTGTATAGACGAAGTTTCCCTGTGTTGCCTGGACCATCTCAAACTCCTGGGCTCAAGCAGTCCTTCTGCCTGGGCTTCCCAAGGTGCTGAGTGACAGATGTGAGCCACAGTGCTGGGCCATAAGCCAGGTCTTCATATATTTGATGACAGTGTTTGGCCAGCCCAGCCAAAATTCTCTCCTCTGGCCTGGACGTCCCTAATTCTTTTGGGAGATGCTCCATCTCTACTTGTTCCCTGTGGGTGCCACTCCCAACACAGACACACATACACGCACACACACGTGCACATGCATGCGTGCACACACGCACATTTCCCCAAGTGACCCACCAGATACCCCTGGCTCTAGCCCTCAAGAGAAGAGCTGGGCTCCAAGAATAACGTTCCTTTGGTTCTCCATGGCTCCCATCCGGCGTCTCCAGGTCTTGATTTCAGAAGGACTGGGGCAGTTTGCTCAAGATCCCAAGTTCATCGAGGTCACCACCCAGGAGCTGGCCGACGCCTGCGACATGACCATAGAGGAGATGGAGAGCGCAGCCGACAACATCCTCAGCGGGGGCGCCCCACAGAGCCCCAATGGCGCCCTCTTACCCTTTGTGAACTGCAGGGACGCGGGGCAGGACCTAGCCGGGGGCGAAGAGGACGCGGGCTGTGTGCGCGCGCGGGGGCGACTGAGTGAGGAGGAGCTCCAGGACAGCAGGGTCTACGTCAGCAGCCTGTAGTGGGCGCTGCCAGATGCGGGCTTTTTTTTATTTGTTTCAATGTTCCTAATGGGTTCGTTTCAGAAGTGCCTCACTGTTCTCGTGACCTGGAGTTAACCGGAACAGCGTCTTCATTCATTTCTGTTGGGACAAGACGCGGAGCCTGGGTGCGCGAGCCGCCCTCCGGGAGGAAGGCGCCCGGCTGTGTCCGCAGACGTGGGGACAGGAGGCGGCGAGGGTCCCGGGGCGTGAGGAAGGCGCCTGCCCTCCCCAAGCCCGCAGGCCCCGGGACCGGCATCGCCTCTGTGGGGAGAGCACCCCGGCTTCCTGCGCGCCCTCACCAAAAGGACCCTACAGCAAACGGGTGTCTTTCGACTCTGCTTGTAGAAACCATTTGCACATATTCTGTACGAGCCTGCTGTCTCCCTAGAGCCAGGGCCCTGCGGATTTGGAGAAGGGAGCCGGGCAGGACTTCCAGGAGGACCCCGCCCGGGCCCGGAGAGGGAGGAGGAGGCCGCCAGGGGCGCGGAGCTTTGGGGATGGGCGTCCGGCCGGCGGGGGTGCGGCTCACTTCGACCCGTCCCCATCCACCCGCGACGGGATCGTCCCACAGGCACAGGCCACGCCGGGCTCCCGGCTCGCCGCCGGCCCGCAGGCAGCGCAAGGGAGGAGCTGCGCCGCAGGGAAGGGGCCGCCGGCTCCGCCCAACCAGGTGGTGCTGAACTTCCGCTGAGCGCTCTTTTGTTTTGTGGTTTGACACTTTTCTTGACAGCATGTTGCAGTTTTCGATTTTTTGGATTTTTTGTTTTGTTTTGGTTTTGGTTTTGGGTTTTTTATTTTTTATTTTGTTTTCCCAGAGGGGTGGGAGGAAGAAGAGTGTTTACAAAGTCTTGTAGCCCCCTCACCTTTCTGTTTTCACTTTTGCCAACGTACATCGGGTTTGGTTTTCTTGTGTTATTTAAAGGATTGTCGTTTCCTTTTCTCACGGAGGTTCAATAGAAGCCGCTGCAGGAGAGTTTTACCATCCATTGTGTATGCCCAATAATTTGTTATCATTTCCGTAGGTAGTAACCTATTTTTGTTCTGGTTTAGTTCGGTTTTCTAATGAAAAGGTAATTGGCAATGCACTTGATGTGGTCTTGCACATGTGGGTGATAGAGTTGGGTTCCTTTTTATGCTGGGTGTACAGGTGGGTTTGCGAGAGAGGAGCATGCTCGAGAGACTCTGTGAGTGTGCGACGCGTGTGTGTGTGGTGGGTTGTCTGTGCGCATATGTCCTACCTATGTATATGCACCCACACCATATGCCCGCGCACACCAGTGGCTACGCAGTCCCCCCTTTCTGGTTTAACTGTGGGAAGATCTGAATCTGGGGCCATTTGAAAGCAAAAACAAACCACTGTCTCTGCTTCTGAAATGGGAATCAGTAACCCTTTGCATTTTCTGTCCCACAAGATATGCAAAAACAATGCAATAATATTCATTTAAAAATACAATTGTGAGTTGTGTTGGCATTAAAGCTGTATTTAAAAAAAAAAGACACAGAAATTTAAGGGAAAAACACAAGAAGGCATTTTGCTTCAATATATTCCGTGTAATGTTTTATTGCATTGATAATGTTTCTGTTGAAGAAACCGTTATACTTGAATTCAGGTCAGTTTCAGTATTTTTCAAATATTTTTTTAAAACTGAATTGCAATTGTGCCAAGCGAATATAATGAACTGAATTAAGTTGGTTTTTGGATTCACTTCTTGTATATTTTGCTGCATGTAAAGTAAATCATTTTGTATTTGGAGTGTGACAAGCTTTACCTTTGAACTCTTAAGTGCTTTTCTATATGTGGTTGGGGGAAAGGGAATGAGTTCTGTTTAATTTGCACAACGAGCAAAGGTATCACCAGTGTAGTCATTATTCTGCTCTCCACAAACAGGTTTGGACATTACTGTTTTGCATATCTTGTGTTCGCTTCCATTTCCCTCAGTTTTTCCAAAATCATTTGCTGGGTTTGTTCGTACCGCCTCCTGCTGTGAGACCAGAACCTATTTTATTCCAGTCTTCACTGTGTCCTCCCTGCTCTGGTCCTCTGATTTGGTACTTCTCCAAGAACAGTCCTTCGCTGTGAGGCGTAGGGAGGCACTCTGACCAGCCCTCAGTCTCCGGGCTGGCATGTGCATCCCCCATGGAAGAGGTGGCTGGCTTGCCCTTCGCTCCCACCACTCAGACTTTTCTTGTTGGGTTCCTTAGAAAAGTGTACACTCACCGGGAGGATGAAATTAAAGTCAGGCTGCTTGGAGGGAGGGGCATCCTCACTTCAGGAATCTGCTGTATTCAAGAAGGACAGCAGGGGCTCAAGAAAGGAACTGGTGAAACCCCCGGCCATCTGAAAGTCAACTCTGCGTGCTCCTTTCTCCGTCCCTTCCTCACTCCGGAGCTGCCTTGCCTTCAGGCCTGCCCTCCTGTTTGGGCTGCCAAGGAGGGGGCCAGGACAAGGAAAGAGGCATCAGGAGCTCACAGTGCAGGTGGGGATGGATTTTGTGAGGACATCTCCGATGCTTATTTACATCTCCCTACTCTGTTGGTGCTGTGTCCTTCAAATGTGTATCAACAGTGATGATTGAAAAGGGACTGCTTTGGGGAAAACCCAATCATTTGCCCAGAATTGACCCATTAAATCTCTTCCAGTCCTAGTGTTCCCTCAGCCCCTCTTGGCACATACGTAAGCAAACTAGAAATTAAGGAAGAGTCCATTCCTCTATGACAACTTGCTCGACTGATTCATGAAAAAGTGGAGAAATGTGCTCAATACTCCCCAGCTAACACAGGCTAGAAACAGAGTTTCTTCATGGATTTCCACACCCAAGTCATCCAAACTTTCTTGATTCCTTTTCAGTGCCATCCAGGTCCTCTAGAAATTGAGTTTAGGTATCATCCTTTGAAAAGTTCCCAAGATTTCTACCAGGAAGTACACAAAGGAATCCCTGTCTAGGGCAGGAGGACTTTCCTAGCCTGACCTCCTGATCCACTAGAATAAGACTGACATATGCTGCCTGTCATCAGAACAGATTGGCACAGCAAGTAATGACATCAACAAACCGCAGCCACGAGTTTCAAAGTGGTGTCTACTCTCCACCTAAAATGGAATTTTCCCCTTGACCTTTTAAAACATAATTGTCACATCTTCCGTACCCCTCCTGACAGCCACTGAGTGGCAGGAGAAAACAGCCAAGGGCTGAGGGCCCAAGGGACTTGAAGAAACACAGTTTAAGGTCTGCAGTTTGGTCAACTTAATTCTTTGTCCTCTGACCAGCCCTGCCTCTTTCATTTCCAGACCTTGGTGAACTTTTCCCAGCTTTGATTCAGAAGGTATTAGTTATAACCCCCTTCTTCTTCTTAACCCAGTAGGCCTCACTCTGACTGGAAAATCCACTCAAAGGAGCAAGGCAGTGTCTCTCATTCTCCTGTTTCCCAGTTTCAAATTCCAGGTGCTTGTCTGGAGCGAAGCTGCTTGCCACTTTCTCCCAAGTTTTCTCTACCCAGCACATCTCCTGGCCATCCAGCGGAAGACAGGGGCGCAACCTCAGGAAAAGCAGGTCTTTGCATGCCCAAGTTCATCTCCTGAGAAATAGGGACACCTTGAAAATGAGGACTTTGGAAGTTACCAAAAGGATGGTGGCTGCAAGCCCTGAGGTACACAGTCACCACTGCTAAAGGCAAAGAAATAGAACAAGAATGTAGGTCAGGGGTAGAGTGGAACCCTGCTCATTGGGGATTTTAGCCTCATCAAACCATCATGGAAAGGGTGGCAAAGGAGGATGATGGCATATCCGTCCCCAGAGGCCTAGAATAATTAAATATCATTGTCGAGGATTTCGAAACAATTCAGCAAAGAGCCCGCAAAATGGGCCCGCTGACTCCCAGAAGACCTCTTTAAACCCCAAGGGAGGAAACTTGATGATGGGTTCTGGGCCAATTCCATGTTTTAAAGAAGACCTGCCTCTGAGGCAAATGTCAGCACAGAGAGGACTAGGGGGTGAATGAAGGCAAGAAAAGGGCACATTTTGACTCCCTCTGTGTCTCTTCCCATTTCATGGAAGGACGTGTTCAGCTCAGCCACCCACAGTGACCAGTGTGGTGGAGCCGCTGACATCTCGAGGATCTATTTGGGAAGGTGAGAAAAGTGCACATTCCATCTGGGGGTGTTGTCCCTGCCACATCAACCTACCTGCTGGGATGTGAGAGTGTCTGCCGCCCTGTCCCCCCTCTGCTGATGTCCCTCCCCTTGTGCTGTCCAGGTGCCACCAGACATAGGCTCCTGTACAAAGGCAGGTGGGGAAGTCCAAACCTCACTCACAAGGAGGCCTTCAGCTGCCAGAGTCCAGGTTCTCCAGCAGCTACGATTTGAGGAGGTTGAGGAGAAAGACAGGAGGGAAAGAAGAGTCCTACAACCATCAGGGATGGGGCACCTTTCCCTGTCCCTGAGCAGAGCTCCCTCTTCCCGCTGCCCTCCCCAGCCCCAGCTCCCTGTCCTCCCCAAAACCTAGTGAGAAAGATGGTGTGTGGAAGGGGTCCCATGAGCAGATGCTACACAACCTCTTTGTGAAGCCACTTCTGGGTTTAACTTAATTCAGTCATTTATTTTTATGTCAAAGCAATGAAGCATTTCTTTGTGGAGCCAGATAACAATATAACAGACCAATGGGTTTCTGCCACTGTGGGGGATGCTTGACCTACCTCCCCCCCTCCCTACCCTTCAGGCCCAAGGGCTGAGATTCAGCTCTAGATATAGGACTTTCCTACTCCTGCAAGGGTGAGCACTGTACACACAGACAAGGAGGTCGCAACAGAGTGATGCTCCTGGGTGGAAGTAGTACCATCAGAACCTTATTACTATTATGAGATAAATACTATTTATGTACATTGAGAGAGTACTACAATCAACACTTCCTCCTGGGGTGACTTTAAGAGGTTTGAGCCACTGCACCTGAAGTGGTAAAGATCCGTGGTCTTTGTGGGGTATTAGAGAAGATTTCAGTCACCTCTGAAAGCACTCTAGCTCTTGCAGCTCAGTGGATGAAGAATGACAAATCTGTTGAGCACTGGGAGGAGTCAGAGTTAGCATTTTTGATGAAAATTCTCCCACATGTCTACTAAGAATGAGGAAGAAAAGATGAAGACAAGGTGATCACACAAAGGTTCGAAACATTGTATCCCCAGAGCCGAGTCCTCTCCCTTCAGATTAGTTACTGGCTACTGCACAGGGACACCCCCACCTTTGCAGGGCACCCCATGTACCCCAATTCTCAGGAGCTAAGGAATTTGACTTTGTAGGGATCCCAGAAAGGGCACCGTGCCACTTACCCTGGCATGAATCAGACATACATCGTACATTCATTTCTTTTTTTTTTTTTTTTTGAGACGGAGGCCCCAGGCTGGAAATGCAGTGGCATGATCTCGGCTCACTGCAACCTCCGCCTCCCGGGTTCAGGCAATTCTCCTGCCTCAGCCTCCTGAGTAGCTGGGACTACAGGCGCACACCATCATGCCCAGCTAATTTTTGTATTTTTAGTAGAGATGGGGCTTCGTCATGTTGGCCAGGATGGTCTCGATCTCTTGACCTCGTGATCTGCCTGCCTTGGCCTCCCAAAGTTCTGTGATTACAGGCATGAGCCAGCACACCCGGCCCATTGTACATTCATTTCTAAAATTCACTCATGCACCTCAGACTAAGGTCATTATCAAAAAAAAAAAAAAAAAAAGCTCTGGGTGGAAGAGCTTGGTTTTAAGAGAGGGTCATTTCTCTGTGAGGAAATGCAGAAATTGACAGAAAGGTTCTTATACATTGTTTGGGTCTGGAGAATTTCCATTATGGAATTCTTAGAGATCTCAAGTTTATTACCAAGGGAATATGGAAAAAGAGGTGAGCAGGCACCAGGCTAAGCATTGGCCCCCTTGCCAAGGAACCTGGAGCTATAGGTTTCAGAGACTCCCTTGAGGAAACCTCTTCTGACCATTGGCCAGGAAAAAAGAGAAGACTCTTCTATAGAGTCACAAGAGAAGCAAAAGAGGGTGTGTCACTGGGTCCCGTATATAGCCCCCACCCCCAAGACTTCCCAACATGGAGAAACTACGCCAATGTTGAAAAGGGGGAAAGGAAAGAACTTGCACATCAAGGAAAGATGATTTGTAAACACACAATCCTGTGCAAAGATCTTCAGGAGGTGTCTCTAGCATCCTAGAGCTGTGGGCACCTTCTGCTTTCCTGCGTCAGGCCACTTATGCATCCAGCTGCACCCCATCCCCAAACCCAAAACCCATCTCTTGAATCCCAGCCAGACTATATACCACCCCCTTGCCATGTCCCGTCCTGCCCAGAATGTATGCTGTTCTCCCAGAGCCTCGCGGGAATGAGGCCTTGCGATGCGGCCATGGGAAAAGTCTGTGATGGTAGTGGATGAGAATAACCAGTGGCAAAACACACACGTTCATTAAGAAATAGGGTGACAGATTCCCCGTTGGTGAAGCACTGAAAGGTCTATTACTCTCGTCATATTGCTGTTTTTTTTTTAATCCACCAGAGCTACCATGCAAAACTTTCCTCCCATGAAAGGCTCCAGATAAAGCTCCTCTATCTCTCCTCTCCTCGTGTCCTCCCACTCAAACCCACCTTCATCCCCAAAACCAATCTGTATCATGCCTGTTCTCAGAGAGGCACAGAAAAATGGGCAGTGCCTCCGTTGTCACCATTACCCACACCCCTACACACGCCACACCCTCCCCTCCAGGCTCCACGACTTCACAGTCTTACTGTTGTAAATATC